CCCTGAACGATGTTAACATCCTGTCTTTCCACCTCTCCCCCAACCTTACTCTCCCTAAAATTAGCTCTTTCCCCTCATAGTGATTTCTGGTTACTCAGGCCCATATACTGTTCTCCCAGTCCCTCCCCATCTCTCGTGATCTGGCCTTTCTTACCTCCCTTTAGAGTACAAACCAAATAGTAAACTGTATCAAACACTCATGGCTCCACCTTTGATTCCCTTGATTACCTTGCTTCCCTGTCCCCAAAATAATCCTCAATCCTGGGTCACCCCCCAATCGTATTTTCTACTTTCAGTCACACAGTAGATAGAAGTCTGGACCTAGAGTCAGGAAGACAGTTCAAATCCCACCTCAGATACTAGCTGTGTGACCCCGGGGCAAATTACTTAATCTTTGTTTGCCTTAGTTTCCTCATCTGTAAAATGGGAATAATAATAGCACCTACCTCCTAGGATTGTTGTAAATACAAAAAGAGGTAATATTTGTAAAGAACTTTGCAAACTTTAAAGCATTTTATACATGCTAGTTTTGATTATTATTTTACTATGACTTATTCCCAAACCACCTACTATTATTGAAGGAAGTCACAGAGCCATGCTAACTTGGCCCAATGGAAATTCATTCCACTTGGGATTTAATTGAGTTCTTCCAACTTCCAGTCACCTCTTTTATTAATTTTTTGTTGACTCCCTATGACATTTCCCTTAGGAGCTGTTCTAAACCTCCTTGGTTCTCAACATCTCTTCCATCCACCTCTCTTAGCAAATAATGTTACTTCCTACTTTACTCGTAAAGCACCTCTTCCTGCCAATGCTTATCCCTTCATTTATGTCATTGGTCCCTTTTGGGTTCTCTTCCCTAGCATCTTACACATTGATCACCTCCAATTTCTCTATTGTCCATCTCTCTTTCTTGGTTCCATCCCTTTTCCCCCACAAACTACTCTTTCTTATCCTTAAAAAAATCTCCCCTTTGTTGTGTTACCCCATTAAGTTATCATCCTAACTCTCTCTTTTCTTTCATGGTCAAGTCAATAAGCATTTACTAAGCCCTTACTATGTGCTAGCATTGGGCTAAGAGCTGGGAATACAAATTCAAGCAGAAAGACAATCCCTTTTCTACAGACAACACAAAAATGGAATTTGAAAAAGAGAGGGTGGGGAATCCATAAAGGCAAGGGCATAGTAGACAAAGTCCAGAGACTTAGGAATAAAGCCTGGAGCGGAAAGAAGACAAGGTTAGCCTGGGCATTCTCCTTAGAATGGAGATTCTGGAGGAAGCAGGCAGAGGGAGAGGTCTCAGGGGTGGAGGGTACTTCCAGCGAGAAAAGTCCAGGACTTAAGGGTGCATCCAAGGTGACAGAGGAAGAACAAGTAATTATTGATTCCAATGGCCAGCTACCCCCATTCGTTATTTATAGCCAGCATTTCTATAGAGCCATAAGGTTTGCAAAGCACTTATATGTGCTGACTTATTTCATCCTCACAACAAGCTTGGGAGTAGGTAGTTATCCCCATTTTATAGATGAGGAAACCAATAAATGTCTGAGGCAGGATTTAAATTGAGGTCTTTCTGATTCCAAGGCCTAGTAGCAGGATGCTGCCCTATGAATAGGGCAAATTCTTTGCTTGGAGGGTGTAGGAGGAGACCATCTCTTTCATCCCTCCAAGAAGATGGGCAACATTTGGTCTTGACTCCACCAGCCCCACTTGCAATTCCTCAAACACGACTTCTGTCTCTCAGTCTCTCATTTCCCATCTCCATGCCTCTGTATTGGCTATCCCCCAGGCCTGGCATGTTCTCCCTCTTCTCCTCCACTTTTTAGTTTCCTGGCTTCTTCAAGACTCAACTCAAATCTTACCTTTGACATGAGGTCTTTCCTAGTTCCTCCAGCTGCTAACTCCTTCCCCTTTCTGATTCCTTTCATCTAGTCCACGTATAGTTTGTATGAACATAGTTAATTACATGTTGTCTCCACCATTAGAACACAAGCATCTTGTTTTTGCCTTCCTTTGTATCACTAGCACTTAACATAGTGTCTGCCACGTAGTAAACACTTAATAAATGTCTTTTGACTGACTCATTGATTGATCTCTCTAAGTCTTCCTTTCTGAGTCCTTTAGTTTCTCTTCTTCCTTCCATCCCCTAAGTGTGAACCTCCTCCAAGCTCTGTCCTCAGCTGTCTTTTCTTTTCTTTTCTTTTTTCTTTTCTTTTCTTCTCTTCTCTTTCCTTTTCTTTCTATACTCTTTACCAAGGGGATCTCATTCATTCCCAATTCTTCAGCTTTCATTTTTTTTCCCAGTCAAAGACAAAGTTTATTAGAACATAAATTGGTGTTGGACGAGATTTTAAGAATACGCCATATTGGCTAGATTCTTCAGGAATCTGAGCATTTGTATCGCTAATGCAATTGGCACAGATTTTAAGAATCTGAGCTGAGCTTTCACTTCTTTGCAGGTGGCTTCTGCTATATTTCAATTGGTAACCTATCTCTGTGCTCCCAGTGATAACTCAGGAATAATATATCCAGCACTGGATTCATCCCTTCTCTCCTAAAACTTTTCTGTCTTCTGAATCAGTTCTCCCCCTCCCATCTCTATTTATGGCACACCCATTTTCCTAGCCTTTTAGGTTTGAAACCTCCAAGCCATCTTGGACTCCTCATTTTCCCTCCCAATCATCTTCACACTCCCCATCAAATAGCTGCCAAGTCTTGTCAATAGCACTTGGGAAATATGTTTCACATCAACAACCTCCTTTCTCCCTCCTCTGTCACCTCCCTAGTTCAGGCCTTCCTTACCCCTTGCCTGCACCATTATACTAGCCTTTATTTTTAATTAGTCTCCTTTCTTCCATTCTCTCCCCTCTCCAATCTATCCTGGCCAAAATAATCTCCTAACACTGAAATCTGAATAGGCATTCCCCCAATCAAAAACCCTTTTCTAGTTCCCCATAGTCTACAGTATAAAATACAGACTTCTGCTGGCATTTAGGGTTTCTCATGGTCTGGTTCCATCTTACCTTATTTCACACTTCTTCAGTATTCTGTGATCTCATTGATGTTGGCACTCATTCCAACAGATGCAGATCACAACTCAGCAACACTCTCTCAAACTGTGCAACATGTGTTCAAGTCTCTCTGGAAATTCTTCACATGGTAATCAACATGTTAGGGGCCTTTCTAAAATTCTTTTGACATTGTATGAATTCCCAATGGGGAAGGAAAGGAAGAAAGGGGAGAAAAAGCATTTATTAATTTGGGATTTTCTTGGCAAAGATACTAGAGTGGTTTGCCATTTTCTTCTCCAGCTCATTTTACAGATGAGAAAACTGAGGCAAATAGGGTTAAGTGACTTACTCAAGGTCCCACAGCTAGTAAGAGTCTGAGACCAAATTTGAACCCAGGAAGATGAGTCTTCCTGACTCCAGGCCTAGCTGCCTCAGTGGAATGCATAACAATAACAGCTAACATTTATATAGCACTTTAAGTTTGTAAACTTCTTTACACATGTCATTTCATTATATATTATTTCATTTGATCCTCACAACAACTCTGAGGAGTGCAGTTACTGTTCCCATGTTACAGATGAGGAAAGTGAGGCAGACAGCTGTTTGCTTTTGCCACATGACAGGCTGACTTTCTGTTCAGGCCACACATCTCTCCAATGACATCCTTTACACTATTTTTCTTGTTCAATCCTTGGTTGATGACTGTTGAAGCCTACTCACAATCACCAGGTACCTCTCCATTGCCATTTGGGTGACCCTCAACTTTAATTATATGGAGATTGTGCTATCCAGGACTACTCTCCTTAAATTCTACATTCCACATAAAGTAGACTATTAGCTGTTCTGTGACCTCGGCCCACCTCACCCAGCTCTAGGCATTTGTATATATTTTTTTGTCATGTCAGAAAAGGACTTCCTCCCTACCTCTGCCCCTTGACATTTTCCCTTTCTTTCCCCAGTCTAGTTTGGGGCAATTAGATGTCTCAGTAGATGGAACGCTGGGTCTGGAGTCAGGAAGACTCATCTTTCCGAGTTCCAATCTGGCCTCAGACATTTACTAGCTCTGTGACCCTGGGCAAGTCATTTACCCCTGTTTACCTCCGTTTTCTCATCTGTAAAATGAGCTGGAGAAGGAAATGACAAACCTCTCTAGTATCTCTGCCAAGAAAACCCCAAATGGAGTCATGGAGAGTCCGACATGACTGAACAACAATAACAACAACAGGCCTAGTTCAGGTGCCTCTTGCTTCATGAAAGTATCCTTCTCTGATTCCCTCCAGCTAACAGTGCTTTCTCCTTTCCTCCCTCTCCAATCTCTCCCACTGATCCTCTGCATGATTCTGTACACTCAGACTATTCTAACATATTGTAATTAATGATATGTATGTCCCTCCTGCAAACTAGAGCATGGGCTCCTTGACAGCAGGGACTCTGTGTGACTCGTCTTTGTCTCACCAGCACTTACACGTCTCACACATAGTAGGTACTCAGTAAATAGTTGGAGAATTAATCAAGAAGAGGAGGAAGGCCAGGGACATGGGGCCACTGAAGGTAGCATAAGGGAAATGGGGAAACTGAGAAATTGGGGGTTTGGGGGAAAATAAAAGTGGTACTTTGAATCTATCTGAAAATAGTATATGAAAGAACCGCAACCCTGTATACCTATTCACATTATATTCCAATTTAGGAAATACTCCTTAAAGCCTGATTTTCCTCAAAAAATATAGAGTTAAGATGAAATATATTGGTAGATATTATATTAAAGGACAATGCTTCCTTGGTCTTTCTTCACACTGGGGACTCCCCCTTCCTTTCTCCATGAGTTTATTAGGAATTTCCCGCTCTGCAGGTGTTTTGTCTTCTCTTCCTGAGCACACCACCACAAACCCTTTCACATGCTAGGAGTGTTGGATAGATAAAGCAGACGAATGTGAAAAAGTACTTGGAAATCCTGAAGGGGAGTCACCCTGGCAACATCACACTCCTTAATCTGGACACCCCAAAAGTACTGCCTTTTTTTCAATGTCTGAAGAGTTTTGTTTGTTTTTGGTTTTTTGTTTGTTTTGTTTTGTTTTCATATGATCCCAAATAAATGGAGCTCTGGGACGGGAAAGTTAGTGGAAATTTTGGGCTTTCTGCCTGGCTATCAGTAGCAAGATCTCATCCTGGTCCACTTCTCTCCCTCCCCTCCCCTCCTCTTCCCCTTGACTGGATGGGAAGGCCCTGGAGGAGGGTGGAGAGAGGTCAGAGTGGTGGGATATGGGCTCCTCCCTCCTGCTCTCTTCAGGCTCAGTGACTTGGCTCTGGCCAGGAGACTGGGGAGCCTGTCAAGGGTCTCAGAGAGATTGAGGCTGGACTTGCTGGTGCAGTGCCCCTCGTTTCCGGGAGATGGCTCATTCCCTTTTTCTTCCTTTTGCTATTGTCCTACCCATGGTTGCTGTACTCTGCTAGCAAGCTTGAGCTCGTTTTTGGGTCTCTCTCTCTCTCTGCATGCAAGCCCAGCACTTCGCCCTTGCCAGCCTCTCCCACTGCATCAGGGACCCTTCTTCAGGGACTCGTAGGCTTTGAATGTTGGTTTATGGACACCGTGGGCTGGAGAAGGGAAGAGGGGAGGGAGGCTTGGGGCTAGAAACACCTTGAGGCTTGTGCACGAAACAGCTTGCAGAGAGGAAACATCAGCGAAGCCCCAGCGAGACACCACCAGGCACACGCACCAGGCAATCGGGAACCCGTTCGATCTTGCAGCAGAGCCAATCGAGGTAAGCCTCAGCCGGCCGCGGGGGCTCCCACCCCACATATGAGAATGACGGACGTGGGGAGCACTGACCCGGTCAGGGGCTCTTCCCAACATGGAGGTGTAACAATGGGAGGAATAAGGAAGGTTCTTGGACTGCAGCCTCAGCCTTGGATGCTGCGGGGAGGAGAAACGAGAGGAGAGCCTGTGGGGCCGAGCAGGTTGTAGGGCGAGCGTGCTCCCAGCCCTGCCGGAGGAGGTGGAGGGGACGGGTCGGGGTGGAGATGGGGGGGGGGAATCCTCTGGCCATAGAGTACCCACCCCTTGACTCCAAGCTGAACTCACCGAAACCTTTACGTTTTGTTTGCGTATAAGATGAGAAACAAATAGTAAAACCTGTCCGGAGGGATGGCTGTTTTCTCTCCCAGTGCGGGGGAAGGTCAGAGTCCAGTCCCGGAAAGGACAAGAATTTTTATTACTTTTTTTCTGGAGAGGGGAGGGTGAAGCCTGGCTTATGCCTTATAAGGGCGCTGCAGCAGCACCCTTCCAGTAAGAGAAGGAAGAGCGCAAGTGGAAGGGAGAGAACCGAAGAGCCGTAAGAAGCTTGAGTTGCTAGACTGGGTGGGAAAGTGGCCCCCTTGGCTCACGCCCAGGCCTGGACTCTTCTTTCCAGCTTCTCTTAGGGGTGGTTTGGGTGCTTGGGAGGAACCGTAGTGGAGAGCCAATAGTGGAAAAGCGTGGCTGAAGTGGGGTGGGGTGGGGAGACCGGAGGTTTGGCAGGATCACTGGATGTGGGAAGAGGTAGTTACCAAAGGCATCACTGTTAGTTTGTGCAAACACAGTCGGGGTGCCAGATCAGGGAGCTCCCTTACTGCGAGAAAACCTTCTTCCTTTCATTCCTTCGCTTCCACCCTCCTTCCCTCTCCTACCACTTTGGGGCTTTCATTGCATTCCCCTTCTCATCCCCACCAGCCCGGCCTGCGATGGAATCTCTATTGTCCCTAGCTGGACTGTTTTCTTTTCCCCCAACTCTGCCTGGGAGTTCTGTACTTTGGGCTGCTCCCTTCCTGTCAGGAGATTTTTCAAGAGGGAGTCCCAGAATTGGGGCCCTGATGTCGCCCTGTTCCACTGTTTCCTACCCTCCTTAAACTCCCTGACCAGGTAGGAGGTGGCTAAGCCATCTCTGGGAATCTGCATTGAATTTTCACCCTGGTCCGGCCCTTGACCAAGGTCTTGCCTTGTTGCTCTGTGAGACCTTGGAGTGATAGCAGGAGAAACAGGCCTGGAAAGTGGTAACTGGGCCCAAAATACTGTGTGCCCCACCCCCACCCCCAACACACACCTCCAGCCAATGATCACAAAGTGGAGATGAAGAGGTACCAAACCTTCCAAATATTTAGCCCTTCTGGAACCTGGCCTTCCCATTCTTGGTAATATTCATGGAAAAATTAAATGAAGGCAAATTTTATAGCTTTGCTAGGCAGCCAAAGTCTGAAGAGACTGCAGCTCTGGATTCTTTCTGGTCTGGAGTCTAACGCTGGGGTTGTCATCGGTTTTCCTTTGGCCCTTAGGTGAGCCTGAGATTGATTTTCGTGACTCTCGGTATGTCTGACTGAGCCTTTGCCCAAGCCCTCCACTCATATCTAGATGGGTGTTTGTCCATATTATACCTCAGCTGGGAATTACCTCTAAAGGCTGAGGGTAGTGTCAAATGCTACCGAGGATCTAGAAGGGCTTCTTCAGCACAGGCTATACTTCTGCCATACTCCTTTGGATGGGAGCTCATCACCCTTGGCTGTGACTGGTCTTTGCCATTGCCTAGATGGATTCTTCCATTTGTCTTGGAGGGAGAGAAACTGAGAATTGTGTGTATGTAGGCACACGCCCACGTGTACATGCTTTTGGTCCATTCAGTGAAGTCCCCTCTGTTTGGCACAGTGCTTTGCAGATCTCTGATGCAGACAAGGGCCCCCTAGGAGAAACCTGCAGTGCATCAGTCCTGTGCAGGGCCTTCGAGGAAAGAGAAATTATAGAGGGAGAACAGGGAGCAAGAGAGAACTCATTAGAACCTTATCTCGTCCTCTTCCCTCCGTCATTATAGCCCCTTAGGTTTTTTTCCCAGCCCAGGGTTTGTGAGTGGCATGGACCATCCTGAATCTTACATTGTATTCCTGATGACCCCTAAAGTTCCTTCCAACTCTGAATCTAGGATCGTATGGGTGACCTGGGCAAGGCGTTTGAGAGGGACGGAAAGGAGAGAAGTGGGGCTGGTACTCAGAGCTGGTGGGATATTGAATATACAACAGAAGTAGAAGTCGTGTTGTAGAAAACCTTGTGCTGTTCCTCTTTGATAGTTAGGTGGACAAAGGGAAAGAGGTGACTCTAGATTCCCGAGGGGCACTCTTTGGCTGGATCTCTTCCTAGAGGTCTGGGACTGACAGAATGGAAGCCAGGGGAGAAAATGGACTTTCTAATGGGAGCTGGAGGCAAATGTCTGGAGAGTGAGAAACATTGGAAGGGCTGACACCCTCTGGACAACTGAAGGAACCTACTGATGGGATAGAATTGGGTTGATAGATAAGCCAGGGAGAGAATAAAGATCACCACAAGCCCAAGAGAGAAAAAGAGAGAACAGGGTTATAGTAATTTATATTTATAAATAGCATTTACATGGTGCTTTAGGGTTTGCAAAGCACTTAACAGTTGTTATCTCATATCACCTCCCAACAGCCCTGTGAGGTAGGTGCCCTAATTATCATCCTCATTTTACAGATGAGGAAATGGAGACTGACAAAGTGTTAAATAATTTAACCAGGGTCTCACAGCTAGTAATTGCCTTAGGCAAGTTATGAGCTCAGGTCTTCTGACTTGAAGTCCATCACTAGATTCCCTATGCCACTTGGGTGTAGGCTGCTGTCACTCACTCAGATTCAGTAGCTCGATCAGTTCAACAAATGTTTACTAAGCATGCCCACTTGTAAAAAAGAAATTAGTTGTATCCCCAGTGCTTAGCACAGTACCTGGCACATAGTAGGTGCTTAATAAATGTTTATTGGATTATTGAATGCCCATTACATGCCAACATCTTTGCTAAGTTCTGGAAAAATAAGATCAAAATGTTTTCTGCTTTCAAGGAGCTTATGCTCAACTAGGGGTTACATTGTGTACCCAGCTAAATAACCATAAGGTAATTTGAGGAAGGGGAGAATGTTAACCACTGGAAGGCCTTAAGGAGGAAGTGGTCCCAGGGAGAAGCCTTGAAGGATGGCAAGGATTCTGAAGTCATTTGTATTCAGTGAGATAAACCAAGGATGATAAGCTCAGGGTCAGAAACCATACTTGGTAAACTTGATTTATACTGTACCCAGCATCACAGTTCTGGGTAGACATCCTAAGAAGACTAATTGTCTATTATTCAGGAACCGATGAGCCTTTGGGTGAATCAATGAAGTCCTTGGCTTCCCTGCCCTGAAGTGCAAGGAGAGGGGGAGAAATTAAAATCAAAGCATTTTACCCTTTCTGAGAAGCTCTGGTAAGAAATTTGGTTGGGGAGTGGTCAACTGCAATCCTAAAATGAGGTTTGGGGATTATTTAAACATCTCCTCTATGAGCCTGAACAATTGAGAGTGGGTTATAAATTATGTTGGCTAATGAAAGGTACAAATCCTTGGGATCTATCTATGTTGACAAGGTCAGAGACTGGAAACTGGTGACTTGGGTCTCTCAGCATCTAAGATGATCTCCCTGGGGTATGTTTTCTCTCTCTAGAAACTAGAAATGGGGATCTACTTTCCCATCATCATCATAATAATAATAATAGCAGCTGACATTTATGTAGCACATTACAAATATTAGTACATTTGATCCTTACAACTGTGCTTCAAGGGTTGAGACTCTGTTATTATTTCCATTTTATAGAAACTAATGACAAGAGAAAGTGAAATGACTTGCCCAGGGTCACACAGTCAAATCCAGGTCTTCCTGACTCCAAGACTTTTTCATTCTTCTCCTATGACTCCTGGGGTAACCTTTGGAGAAAAAGAAGCTTCCCTGCATGCTAGCTATGTCTGGTACCCTACTGCACCTCCACAACCATGGACTCTGCAGGGTTCAAGAGAGGGATGGGCAGATGATGTCAATGGATGAAATGGGTGGGGGAAGGGAGTGAACCCCATGTCATCATTCAAATTGGTCTTACAGAATCCGGATCTAGAGAAGAGGGGGCGGTCATCCAGGTTCTGAATCTGAGAATAAGACTGCAAGGGGATAAAGGCACATGTCAATCGGTCAGTAGTCTACATTAATTAAGTGCTTACTATGTGTCAGGCACTATGTTAAATGTCTATTTGGCACAGAATCCGGTTCATCCATTTTATAGGTGAGGACTCTGAGGCCCAGAAAAGTGGTGTGGCTTGCTCAAAATCACACAGCTAGGGGCAGAGGTCAAAGGTGAATCCAGATTGTAAGAGCCACGCTCACTATTCTTTTCACCTTACTGCATGACTCTTTTGACTACTGATCCCTGGCTGAAATACTGGGTGTTTCGCATTTAAAGACAATTGAATTTCCAGGGGCCATGTTCGAAGTGGAAACAGGCCTAATAGGCAGGTATGGGCTTGGATTTTTAAAAACTAAGTTTTATTGCTATCTTTCATCTTTCCATCAGTTATATTTCCCACTGTATCACTCCCTGCTCCTCTTCTCAGAGAGCCAGCCCTTATAACAAATAATTTTTTAAAAAGAGATTAAAAATAATTTAGGAAAACTAGCCAACATTTAAATTATAGTATTACAAGATTTGGGCCAGATATAAGGAAGAACTTAGTGAAGGTTATTGTACACTGATCCATTAAATATTTGTTAAACACTTTCTTTGTGCCAGGTGTGGTGGGGCATGGTAAGTTCTGCCCTAAAGATGCCTGTAATGTGGGAAAGGAGATGTGAACTAATGACTATTGTAAGATAGAATGCCCAAGTGCTATAGGAGAGGAACAAACCAAAAGATTTTAATGATTTAGAAATGATGATGATGATGATAATAGTTAATATTTATATATCACTATGTGCCAGACTCTACAATTATTTTATATTATGATTTAAAATTACAAATCTTATTTGATCCTTACAACAACCTTGGAAGGCAGATGCTAGTATTATTTTCATTTTATAGATGAGACAACTGAGACAAACAGAGGTTAAGTGGCTTGCCCAGAGTCACACAGCTAGTAAGTGTCTGAGGTTAATTTTGAACTCTAGTCTTCCTGACTCCAGGCCCAATCTAACTACTGCACCATCTAGCTGCTTAAATAAGAAAGATCACTCTTAAGTGGGAGGATCAGGGAGGGCTTCATGGAGGTGACATTAAGCTCAAGCTCAAGGATGGTATAATAGAAAGAATACTGGCTTTAAATTCAGGTGATCTGGGTTCTCATGCTGGCTGTGCTACCAAGATGTTGGATCAGCCAGCTAACCTAACCTTTCCAGGTCTCAGTTTCCCCATCTGTAAAATCAAGAAGGTCACTTTCTGTTCTTAATCTTATGAGAATGTATATATAGGCTTTTACCAGGTGAGAATGATTAGTGGAGCGCATTTCAGACAGAGGGAATACCATGAACAAAAGCATGGAGGTAGGAAAACAGGGTATTTTTCAGGTGGGCAAATAATTAAATTTGGCTAAACATAAAGGAAACAGTATAAGATGTAGTTGGAAAGATAGATTGCAGTCAGATGGTGGAGGACCTTGAATGCCAGGCTAAGACATCTGAACTAAATTCTGAACAGATTAAAGAACTGTTAAAAGTTATTGAGTAGGGAAGGGAGTGACACATTTGAAGCTTGCTTTAGGAAGACTGTTCTGGCATACTGGTGTGTAGGATGGGCAGGGAAACCTGGTAGAAGTCATTAATATAGCTTAACCAAGAGTCTGCAAGGGCCTAAATTAGGTTAGTGGCAGTGGGTGTGTTAAACAGGTGACTAATTTAAGAGCTACTAATGCCAGAATAATAATAATAAGTGACATTTATGTAGTGCTTTGCAGTTCACAAAAATGTAACATGTACAGATTACATGTAACATGTACACGTTATAAATACATGTGTGAAATATATACATTATATGCAATGTGTACATGTGTTATAAAGATGTGTGTGGAAATATAGACATTACATACAATGTGCACGCATGTTATAAATGTGTGTGTGAAACACATGCATTATATATAATATACACACATGTTATAAATTTATGCAAAATATATACATTATATATAACATATACATGGTATAAAATATGTGTG